ATGTTCATTTTGACAGTGTGAATGTTCATGTCATGGAATGTTTACACTGTTAACGTCAACATTAATGCGCGCTTCACCTTATTATTATTAGGGATATTTTGATAATTATGTCACCCATAAGACTTATTGAAACGTAAGAAAGTAATTTTGATTAAGTGGAACATAAGTAGATGAAGAGGAATTTATAAATAAATGCCCTTTAAAAAAATCATAAAGCAAAATAAAAAATTACTAATAAGTTCTATTTTATTTTCAAATTACTATTGAATTATATCAAGTTTCAATATTAATTAATAAGTCATATTTTCTTTTTTATTTTATAAATTGTTATAAAAAAAGTTCAATTATTCAAAATAGTATGTTTTATTTTATTTTTATTTTTCTCAATAAAATATGAACCAAAAATTTTTCATAAATAATTTTAATTTATTTAAAATATTTTAAATTCTTGAAATTAAATAAATTTTCATAAACAAAAGTATAAGTATAAGATTCATCAACTATCCCATGCAATGAAAAATATATAAATTTGTCATAGTATTATTTTTTAGAATTTTAATTGAATTTAACCTTTTAGATTGTTTACACTACTACAAAAATTCATAATTTGAAATAACAAAAAATGATACATTTTATACTAGAATTGTTTTGATTCAATTGTTATTTATGATTTTTTAAACATAATAAGAATAATTCTTACAATTAATTTTTTTAATTTTAATTATGTTAAAATTATTGTTCATATTAAATGAGATGGGTAAAATTGAGATAAAATACACCATTATAAAACAATGAATCTTTTGGAATATTTTATAGCAAATAAAACTTGGTTGTCCATATTGAAATTTGATAGGACTTGAAAATAATTTTGAGAGTAAAATACAATTTATTAGGAACTTTTCCTTATCTCTTTCATTTATCCTTTTTATATGCTTCATATATAATTTTATGCCCTCCATATATAATTTCAATAGTACACAAGATCACTTTTTTTACAAAAATAAAACAACAATGCTATAAATTCAAAAAAATCATTCAAAAAATATCTAAAATTTTAAATGCATTGTCAATATTCGCTACATAAATAGTCCCACAACAATTTCAAATATACATCATTGATCTATCATTTTGAGTGAATTTCTAAATACATTTTTTGGTACCATAACCAAAGAAGAAAAACATAAAACTTACATTTTATCTTCTCACACAACTCAAGCACTCATGTCATAATAACACAAGCACACACCAACTTTACCAGCACACACATCACGCTAATAGCTTAGACTCTAGGTTAAATATTCACCCGCACAATTTATTTGTCTTCACTTTCGCACATCACTCTATATATATTTATTTCTCACAGTTGTGAATCTATACAGATGAAAAGATGGTGGTCATGGTAAAAGCAAAAAAATGTGATGCAGGTTGGCAATGCAAGGGGGAAGACCGTTGCAGGGAAGACTGCAAAACTCGTTACAATGGAATAGGGCGGTGCGATGATATCACTGCACCCCTAGTTCCGAAGCAATGTTATTGTGTTTACAATTGTTGATCTCTCATCTCCATATCAATGGAATGTCGAATTATTGAAATCAATAATAAGAACTTGATTTGGTAAAAAGTATTGCAGTATTTCATAAACTTATGAGATGTAGGAATAGTGATATAAGTCGATTTTTTTAATTTTTCTAATTTTTTTGATGAAAACACTTTTTGGCAATATTATTCATATAACTGACATGGTTAATAAGCCAAAAGAGTTTCAGAGTCAGTCATTTTATTTTAACTGAAAGCAAGATAGATTAGAACTTATAGAATGGTTATTTAGTAACCAATTAGGCCTACCCTAGTTGGCCAACATACTTTCTTTAGGGCTTAGTCCCTAGGAAAATCATGAGTTCAATTCTTTTTAGAGGAGTTGAATTAATAAAGTGCAACTATTTAGGTGTTTTGTCAAGGGGATGAGGTTTTCTCCCATGGGTATTAATCTAACAACTAACATTTGCCGATAAAAAAAAAAGTTATTTAGTAGTGTGATGATCAAACACAAGGTGGTGAAAACAAAATTAGTTCCTACTGAAGGAAAAAGAGAAGAAGAGGCATTTTACTACAAAACAAATCAACCTTAAAAGAGCAAGAGTCACAACATGAATCCACTAATGGAAAAAAAAAATATATATATATATATATATCAAAGGTAATTTGTGAGAGAAACTAAAGACAAAGGACAGAATTGAGACTAATGTATTTTCCTTTGCACAAAACCTAAATATATAGTAACCTATTTTGAGCATTGTATGCACTTATACAACTCTTTTCTAACTTACAATTATTATTATTATTATTGTACAATCGATAGAAGGGGGTAGAGAAAAGGGAAGTCACATTGCATAATAGTAAAACTTGAATGTAAGTATCATGCCCTCAACCACCTAAAAACCCTTTGTCTTTTTTAATTTACAATTTACAAGATCAAAAAAAGAGGGAATATATATATATATATATTAATCCACTATTCAGTTGTTGAAAGGGAAAAGAACGTTGTGTCACGCCCTCAAAATAACAACATTAAACCCATCAATAAAGACATGCATTGATATGTAAAAGTTCCACATTCTTTCATTTATCAGAGTTTCATTACAAAAAAAAATATTACATGTTAACGACAAAAGCAAATGCCCTAAAGGCTTACAGCTTTCCAAGCTAACACTTGGTTACAACAAAAGAGTATTAACTCGTTTACACATTAAGCCCTTGGCTTGAATTTACATGTAATACATCAAAAAGGAACTAAAACAACAACAATCGGCTCGCCTCTAGCCTCCCAAGCTATGACCTTGAAGGTGGCATGCTACCTGTACCTGAAAATGATATTCCCATATAGGGTGAGCCACAGCCCAGTAGAAATACACTAAACCAACCATGAACAATGACTAAAAGATTAGCAATTGATAGATGGCCAACACTGATACATTCACATAAATCACATATTTATGCCATACGACTTATGAGTCCAAGTTACCTTTCATTTTCCCTTTTTCAACAGATAAGCATATTAGCTCTATCATCATTTTAACAGATATGTATAAAAACTATATCCCACATTCACAGATAAGCATATGAGCTATATCCACATTCTTAACAGATATGTATAACAACTATATCCCACATTCACAGATAAGCATATAAGCTATATCCACACTTCACAAAGATAAGCATATGAGCTCTATCTTCACTTCTCTAGACAAGCATATGAGCTGTATCTACGGAGTTCATCCCCTATCTTCTCCCAATCCTATCCGGTGTCAACTTAGTGCCCAAGGCACTCTGCAAGCTCTGCATATGATGGCTTTCTATCCCGTGCACTAGCAGCATACAGAGCCGGTTCCCTACAACATTGAATTGAATAATTCAACTACACCCTTTAACCCCATACGTTCCCAATCTCAACAATTCCATTCCATTTCCTCATTTCTCACAATTAATTATCCCAATTAATCAAACAATGTAATTAGGTCATTACCCATAATTACCATTTCAACCCTTAGGTCCCATTTTCATCAATGATTCAACATTTATTCCATTTCTCTATGCCAAACTTGCATCTAGGTTTATTATAAATAAAACCCTAACTTTTGTAAAATAACACAAAAGCCCCAAACTTTCACGAATTTACTAAACCAATCCCAACATCTCAAAATACCAAAATTTAAAGACAAAATCCATAGAGAGGAGTAGGATATCCCTACCTCAAATCCGAAGCCCCAAAAGAGAAGATGACAAAAACCCAACGTGCTCCAAATCCCGAAATTTTCGGATTAGAATGTAGCCCTCGACAATCAACAACTCTTTTGTAAAGGCTAAAGGTAAGGAACCCACCCTAGCTAGATCAAAATCTAGAGAGAAGGCAAGGTTTTAGAGAGCGGAGCTCTCAAAGTAGCTTTTTGGAAAAGTAGGAGAGAGAAGGAAATGTAAAAAGTGATTTAAAATCACCCAGCGGATAACTCATATACGTATGACCCGCTCGAGCGGAGAATACGACGCTCGAGCGCCAAGAACAAAAATCTGGACACGCTCGAGCGCAATAAGACCCGCTCGAGCGCCAAGACACAAGATTAAAGCACATCCGCTCGAGCGCGAAAACCAGTTCGCTCGAGCGCAAATTACCACCTCCTAGAACTTACACCCAGAAAGTACTACCCGCTCGAGCGCCAAACGACCCGCTCGAGCACCACCGCTCGAGCGTAAACAAACCCGCTCGAGCGTAAAAATCACATCTGCAGAAGTTTTGCAGGAACACGAAAATACTGGAAGTGTGCAATCTCCGCTCGAGCGCAAGAAGACCCGCTCGAGCGGAACGCCTAAAAACTCAACAACAAGGAATTTGAAACGAAGGCCTAACCAACCTGTAACAAACCTTCCCAACACATCCTATAACTCAAATACAAAGTAAAAAGGATGTAAACAAGATAATAACCAACTACCAACATCCACGGACACATGTCCGGATCACTGTGCAACAAGGGTAAACCCGGGATCGCTATACGTTGTATATGATGCCATTGGTTTTTTGAAAAAATTATACTAGTAGTTCCTTTAATTTTTTCATTGTATTAATTTGATTCCTGTAATTCCAATTACATTCAATTTTGTGCTTTAATTTTTCAATTTGTGTCATTTTGGTCTAAATTGACGCAAATACTCCAAAATGACCCCAAAAAAAATATGGGTTAGGTAAGATTAAGGAGCTTTAATATATTTTTGTGTTATTTTGGGAATGTAGGAGTATTTGAGCAGAGTGCAAACAGCTGCACCCAATTTTTATTGGGAAAGTAATTGAAAAGGTAACACTTTCATATATTTGAACATCCCAAATCTAGTAGAAGCATGACAAACCAAGGTTCACAAGTATGTAAATAAAAGTTGGGACCAAAACGGAAGTGAAAGTTACCTGAAGCATAAAAGAGGCAGCAATTTAAACAGCCAAACAACTTTTCACATTTTCTCAAATTTCTTCCCTCCTTTCTTCTTTTTTTTTTTTTGTTTTTTTTTCTCATTCATATCTGGTAATTTTGCATCCTCTAATGGAAAAACAAGGGTATGTTTTTTCAAGTGTTCAATTCTCACATGTGCATATAAGTACTCTTTGTTGAGTCTTCCCATAACAAACCTCCATATCATCGTGCAAAGTCACGAGCATCCTCAAAAACTTCCTGCAATATAAGGAAACAAATCCATAAGTTGATAAAAGATTGAAAGTAAGATACACGAAATGCAATTGTAGTGGAGATGAGTTTGATTTTTACCCGAGAGGGAATTCATCAAAAAGATGAGCTAGCAAATCATATCCAATTCTCACAACCTAATACGTTAAAGAGAATTGCATTTCAAATAATTGTCAAACAGATTAAGATATAAAATTACTCGGTAAATGCTATCATTTAAAAACAGGATATATATGTCTTCAAAAATTTGGTGATTGACAAAAATAACACAACCAAATTTCACTTTCGATTGAGAGCTGACATATACTAAATATTAAATCTGAATAGTAGCATTAATATTTAGGTTTGTAAATGTATCTGAACATTGAGAAAAATGTAAACCCGATTAGCAACATTTCCTGGTACAGAGGGTATTTTGTCTGCAACACGAGGCTATGCATTCCATTGAAGAAATGAAATTGGGCGTTCTGCTCAAGAAAATAAATTATCTGCATATACAAGGGTTCAAATTTCAATGAAGCATATTATATTCAAATAGAAGAAACGAATAAAGAAAGACACAAGTAAAGGACCAAACTTTGTGATTTCAATAACTACTTCTCTAAAGTCTTAGCTACTTTATCAGGTAAAAGGTAAAATGATTTCTTCAGGTGTTCAATTCCCTTCTTGCAAATTACACACATAAAATGATTTCTTCAAGTGTACATTGCGAATGCAAAGTGAGATGAGTTTGATTTTTACCCCAGAACTCATCATAAAGATGAGCTGGTATCATCCCAACCTTTCATATCCGATTCCCACAACTTAATCTGTTAAAGAAAGTTGCATTTCAAGTCATTGTCAAACAGATTAAGATAAAATTCACTTGGAAAATGGTATCATTTAGGATAAATGTATTCAAGAACTTGATGGTTCACAAAAACAGTATAACCAAATTCACTTTTGATTAAGAGTTGACATGTATTGAATCTAAATAGTAGTAGAAATATTTGGGTTTTTAAATGTATCTTTTAACATTGAGAAAAATATAAACCTGATTAGTAACATTTTAACATTTTCTCTTACGGAGGGTATTCTCTCTGCAACATGAGAATCTGCATTTTCTGCTGAAGAAAAGAAATTATCTGCAAATACAATGGTTGAAATTTCAAAGAAGCAAGTTATATTCTTATAGAAGAAACAAACAAGAAAATCTGAAAGTATATTTGGTGGAACATACAATATATACGAGCAACAATATTCACATATTACATTTAAGTGGTAAAGATAGTCCTACATAACCATCCAAATCATCCATATTCCAACAGGTCAATATTTTGCTCTTAATTATAACTCGATAAACACTGTTATTATCAACACCTCCTGTCTCCCCTCCATTTCCCCAAACACACACACAAAAACATACATAACAAAAAAAATAAATAACAAAAAACCACCCACAAAAGAAAAACAAAAGACAATTATTTATCAAAAGAAGAAAACAAAACAAAAGTTGTCGATAGAATATTTGGGATGAACATGACGGGATGGCTTTTTAAAAATAGTAGCATTGGTCCCTTTTAATTGAGGGTCCTAGGAGAAGACTGGAGAATCAGATAGGCCTAACCTTCAGCATTATCTTTATAAAGTGGCTACTCTCAATTTTGAACCTTCGTTCTTACACTCAGCACCCTGAACATTTACCTCTGCACCAAGCAATGCCCCAACGTTGGCTTTCAAAGCACCCAAGGCTGCAGGCAAGAGATTCCTATGCATTCACAATGTACACTTGTTTCCTATGACAGAACATCCAGAAGTCAAGAGAATTTGCTTAATAACAAATAAAATGAAATTAGCAACCAAGCAAAAGCTTTTTTAAATAAAAACACCAGTAAAGGATCAAACTTTATGATTCCTTTTACTATTAGTGTAAATTAAGCTACTCTATCAGGCAAAATATGAAATGGTTTTTTTGAGGGTCCTGCTAATGATAGCCCTCAGGGTTGTCAATAAGAAGCACATAAGGCCAAAATATTTATAATCTCAATACATTTTTCACATATCTCAAAACATTTTTACATATTTTTATATACTTCTTACACATTTTATACATTTTTTAACACTAACAACAGCCCACACTTTGGTATACCAAAATGTTCAATCTTCTTCCAAAATGCCCTTTCAAAACTCGCCCCATCGGAAGAACTGACCCATTTTTCTCTTCTTTGCAAATCCACCCCCAAATGATATGCTGATTAATAGAAAAAAGAATGCCATTTTTAGTAAAGTGCCAAACCAGCTTGTCATCAGTGACCCTTGGGAAAAAAAGGGATTTTACATATAAACTCAGCTTCAAAATCCAAAAAGCACTATGTGATGAGAGCTTCATTGCATTTCAAACATCAGTGCTTTCATTAATAATGGAACAAACTTTAGCATCAGCATGGAATTCGTCTAACTTTCCAAATCATCACACACCAGACATTCAAATCACTTCAAATCCTTTCTTGCAGATTGCACACAGAATCTATTGCCTTTGACGACGAGGGAACTCTCAGATGTGCATGGGTATTACAGCCTGCACTACTATTTTTTAATTTTTTTTTTTTTTAAGTTTTCCCATAACAAACCTCAATATTGTTGTGGAGAGTCTCAAGCATCCTCAAAAGCTACCTACAAGATACGGAAACAAAACCATAAGTTGATAAGAGGTTCAAAGTAATATACATGCACACAATTGTAGTAGAGATGAGAAGGCAAGCGAATTTGCTTAATAACAAATAAATTGAAATTAGCAACCAAACCACGTAAAGGAAAAAGGACCAAACTTCATCATTTTATTAACTATTATTGTAAAGTCTTAGCTACTCTATCAAGTAAAAGATGAAATGATTGATTCTTCCATATTGCCATTTTTGGAGTGGTAAAATAACTATGGATTGCCCACATGGATTTTGACCAGACTAGGTGGCTTCCTAACTGTCAAATGTAGTCTAGCATGCAAGGACAAGGTATAAAAACACATCATGATACAAAGTTGTCCTTCTTGCAAGGCATGGAAGTTTAAATGATCAAAAGTCTTGCTTAAGAAGAGTGTGCAATGGGGAGGTTTTTCCAATTGTGGTTCGTGGAAATGACTTCTCAATTTTCTTGACAAATATATATATCTTATTCATTGATTACTTACGAGAGTTTTCATCATGATTAGATAAAAGCAAATCAATAAAATAGACAGTGAAATACATCCTAAAGTTTGTTTCCACAACAACAAATGCTGGAGAACAATAAGGTACTAACAACAATAGTTAGTAGATTACATATCCTTTCTAATATTTTTTTACCTGCATAACACTGATAAAATATAGAAAAGTACACTTTTACAAAGCTGGGGAAAAAAATCACATGGTATTCAAAGTCACAACTGAGTCAGGAAGTTGTCCTCTCCAGGGCAAAAAATAAAAAGTGAAAAAAAAAATCAGCATTTGAACAGAGAACTAATACAAATTATTGAACCAATTAATTTGTAGTCATTAGACACATTATGCAGCCAATCCACTATATGTCAACATTTCAAATGTTGATGTAACAAATTGTTATTCCAAAATATATTCCATGTTATCATAACTATGCTGTCTCTGGCAGACTGGCATTGTTTTATGTTGATGAAACTGCAAAAAAAAACTTATGTCTTAGTGATAATGATGAGATGGAGATCACACAGCATATACTGACCCATAAAATAAAACTGCAAAAATTAGAAACGATTGAAATGTGCGCTTTTATGATTGGTTGAAAAGCGCACATTTCAATCATTTACAACAAACTGGAACTTTCTTGTGATAAGGCCCAAAAGAATTAGAAAGTAAACCCTCGGTTCTGATAAAAATCTTAGACGATATTAGTATTGAGAAATAAACAAATAAAAATGGAACTTGATTGGATAAGAGAGGTGCTTACATTAATGACCTTCCCCTCTTTTACCTACTAAACTCCCTAACCAAGTCCTTTGATTGTAATGGATTAGATCCTAAATTAAATGGAGTTAAATGGTTTCCTACCTTCCCATAAAAAATAGGTGGCAGCTCTTTTATGCAAATCGATCTATTTTGGCAACTTGTGGGCCAACGATACTATGGGATAAACGATTTGTTGTCATTATAGATCTTGATGGTTCATACTCAATTTTGAGATAGTCTAATCCGACATGTGGGTGCGTCGAAATATGTGGTATCCACAGGAGGTCAGTGTAATTATATAACAAATATAAGATTATTAATTGTATTTTCTTCAAACCTCAAAGAGATGAGTAAATTTACCCTTATGTACACATTTTGAAAAAAAAAATGCTTAAAATATAAAATATATAGATCAAAATCATGTGTACCTAAAATATACTCTTGGCCTTTGTCTTTGCCTTGTTTACATTTGCCTTGCGTCTATTGGTAAATAAGGTAAAAGTAAAAGGCACTAGTAGACACAAGATGACATGTGCTCAAAATGGCATGAAATTTGTTCAAGACACTAAAAACTTCATGACGATCAAGACCCATCAGTCTTGAATGGCCTACAATGGATTTTGGGCGAATTCCAAAATTTAGGCCTTTAGTTTCGCGATTTTTCATTTTTAGAAGTAATTGATTCGTCTATAACTTGGTCTATACGAATATGATTTTGCCTTGATTTTTTCTAGTATATTTCCTTTTTTGGTAATTTTTATTTTATTTTATCTGATTTCGGTTTGGTTAGCAAGTAATTAACCTAGGATTTAGTTTACCTTTTTTTCTTTAGGTATTCTCTAGCATAAATTGACATGTATGCCTTAGGGCAAATGAGTTTTATTTTGAAGAATTAGTATTATTACAAGAGAGACTATCTTTTTCTTTTTTTTTGTCTAATCCGTGGTTGTTCAAGTGTTCGAGTGTTCATTCCATTACCTTCCTTGCATCACCATTCTTTTCTTTATCTCTTTTTCACTCATTTATCCTACACATGTCAACAGGCATAACTGCCTACACCATAACTGCCTTTGTAATACCCCCAACTTTTCAAAATATAATTATTTTGGTATTTAAATTTGGTTATTGAAATTTTTTATTAATGAAATATAAATTGGACATAATTTTGTGAATTTGCAAAACATGCTAGGAAATTTCATAGTTTTTGTAAGTTTCAAATAATGATGGCAATTTTGTTATTTTTCAAATTTAATAATAATAAATGAATATTTATATTTTAAATTACAATTTGAGACTATTTACTATAGTTTTTGCTCTTGAATTGCCTTGCTCGTCAATTTTACAACTACTATGACACCAGTTACACTTCTACAAAGAAATTTTGGTCTACCACAGAAGGAGGATATCTTTTTATCCACAAAAGAAAACATGCCTTTATAGAGGGTGGCAAGTAAGTAAGGAGCAAAAGCCATGGCTTGGCCATCTTGAAGGCATAAGGCCAATGGAAGGTATTCCTTGGTAATTTTGAAGCCAGGAACACAAAAAATGAATTAGCAGAGCCAAACTACGTAAAAGGCAGCTCTTTCTTGGTCATTGACAGGGGTGTTTCTTTTGCCTTTGTATTTTTTAATAAACTCAGTGTAACTCATGTCAGTGTTAAGGGTCAAAGTTACTAGTGGGGGTTCTAGTAAAGCACTGATTTCTAATCCTAGAATAGGGAGTCCAATTAAATAGGCTACGTCTAGGATGGTTGGAGATATCACACCAAACTGTAGGAGCATTGAGTTGCAAGATTGTGACCAGAAACAGGCAGCAACAACAATTAACCACTTATTCCTATCAAATTTGAGGGTCGACAAATGAATTACCTCACTAATGCCTCGATGTTTCCGTACATCTGAGTCATAAGCTTCAATTCGTTTGGCCCAGCTTTGTCAAGAAGAATCTAGTTGTCTCCATGATCTAAGAGGGTTTTTGTTGTTGTCCCAATTTACCCAATTGAATTTTGGTTGGTTGAGAAGTAGAGTTTCGCTATTAGCAAGTGGGTAGTATGGAGTTAGTTCATCTAGGAAATAGGTTGTAAAGGTAGATCCTAGGGTTGCTTTGGCTATGGTGGTGGTACTTGGAATCAAAGTTAAGTCCAGCATTAGAGAGCTGGTAATTTCCCTACTGGTTTTGGGGAATCTAAGATGTTCATCATTGGTTTCATTTTCTTTCATGGATTTCAAGAGCCATTGTTTAGAGTTTTAAGTTGTTTGGTGTTCTGATATGGGAGTTTCGAAAGAAAGAGAGAAGATTGAAGTGAGGTGAAGTTGGAAGGTTTAAGCTTTTATAGCTTATGGTGGGCCCAGTGTTTGGATTTGTTCGAATTAAGTATATTATTTATCTTGCCCAGAAATGGATTTGT